CACAATAAGGTATACGGTAAATTTGAATTCACACATCAATGCTACAAAACGACATGTTCTTTCCGATGCGGCGAAAATATTTGATCCCTTGGGACTTGTAGCTCCAGTCGTTATACAATTCAAGATTCAATTTCAAGAGCTGTGGCTACAGAACCTGAGTTGGGATGACGAACTACCTAATAATCTTGCAAATCTATGGTTTAAGTACAGGCAGGATTTGTACGATCTTTCTAACCTAGTAATTAATCGATACGTNGCAATTGTCGCCGCGAAGACTCGGGTCTCATCAATAAAGCAAATTTCTTTACCGAGGTTGGAGCTATGTGGCGCAGTGTTACTAACACGCCTGATGAGATCTGTTGTGGAGTCTTTCGCAGGTAAAAAGTTTAGTTTAAACGCATGGTGTGATTCAACTGTGGTGCTCTCTTGGCTCTCAATACATCCAATCAAGCTTAAAACATTTGTCGCAAATCGTACATCGGAGATACTAAGCACCTTACCGCGCAACTGTTGGAGACACGTATCTTCAAAGGATAACCCTGCAGATTGCGCATCTCGTGGAATGACGGCTGACAATCTCTTAAAACACGATTTGTGGTGGCAAGGGCCAACATGGCTTCTTGATGAAAACGAGTACGTGTCACTTTCTAAACGAATTTCATCGAAGGTCGTATGTTAGAGCTGAGCTTAAGGCTGTTACATTGGAAACTAGCCAAAAGGAGCAGCACAATGTTTACCGGGATTTGGCAAATAATACTTCATCCTGGTGGAGACTCGTACGGATAACATCATATACATTTCGCTTCATCAATGGCTGCAAGCAAGGTAAGAAGCCCATTTACAACCATTTGACCTTTACGGAAATCAGCGAGGCTCGTACATACTTGCTGAAACTAGCACAAAACCATTTTTCTTCTGAACGCAAACATCTTGAATCTCGTACTTAATTGGACAGCAGATCTACGCTACTAAAGTTANCCCATTTTTCTTCTGAACGCAAACATTTTGAATCTCGTACTGAATTGGACAGCAGATCTACGCTACTAAAGTTAGCGCCATTCCTTGATAGGGATGGTCTTATTCGCGTGGGAGGGAGGATTTGCAACTGCGCTCTTACAATGGAAACACAACATCCGATACTCCTGCCAAAGGAGGATCGCATAACAAACCTTATTTTAAACAACGAGCATATTTAAAACTTGCATCCAGGTGTTTCAGCTCTCTTCGTCATAGTTCGACAAAAATCTTGGATATTCGGAGCCCGTAATCTTATTCGAAAGCTAACTCACGACTGCTTGAAATGTTTTCGCCAGGCACAACATACGTCGTCGCAAATGATGGAAGATTTGCCAAGAGTAGCATTCCCATTTCTAAATTGCGGATGTGATTACGCCGGTCCTATGACACTTAAGAACTGTCGCCTTCGGAATGCGCGCACGTCAAAGGGCTACATACNTAATCTTATTCGAAAGCTAACTCACGACTGCTTGAAATGTTTTCGCCAGGCACAACATACGTCGTCGCAAATGATGGAAGATTTGCCAAGAGTAGCATTCCCATTTCTAAATTGCGGATGTGATTACGCCGGTCCTATGACACTTAAGAACTGTCGCCTTCGGAATGCGCGCACGTCAAAGGGCTAGCTACATATGTGTGTTTGTGTGCATGGTAACATCGGCGATTCATCTGGAGTTAGCCACTGATTTGACCACAGAATCTTTCATTGATGCACTGCGTCGATTCATGGCTGACGAGGAAAATGCTCTCACATTTTCAGCGATAACGGTAGAAACTTCGTCGGCGCATCCAAGGTACTCAACGAAATGTATCAATTGTTGCAGCCACAAACCCACAATGAAACTATAGCAGCCTTCTTGTCCAAAGAGGAAGTGAAATGGACGTACATACCTCCATACATAGATGCACACTTTGCTAGCCCAAATTGAGGCCGTCGTAAACTCGAGACCATTGGGTGTCGCTCCAGACTTAGATGATATGTACCTCTCTCCATCTCATTTTCTAATAGGTCGGCCATACACCATGGTGGCGGAAGCAGATGTGTCGGAGGTTCCTGTGAACCGATTAAAATACTGGCAACACATTCAAAACATGTACCAAGGGTTTTGGAAACGTTGGCACATGGAATATCTGACATCGCTCCAGAGCCGACCGAAATGGTACCGCTAGCATCTGAACATAGCAGTTGAAGGTATAGTTCTCGTTAAAGAAGCAAATTTGCCTCCATCGATGTGGATTTTGGGTAAGGTAACCAAAACATTTCCCGCAGCAGATGGATTGATGCGTGCCGTTCTACCCGTATTGTGAAACCTTGTTTTGCGGCCGCCCGGAATGTTCGTGAATGGCCCATCGTATTGCTATTCTTATATTTTAGCTTATAACAAATACATGGCAACATTCGAACTAAGTACCAATGTTAAAGTTGATGGCAACTCTGTATCTTTTNCGCGGCCGCCCGGGATGTTCGTGAATGGCCCATCGTATTGCTATTCTTATATTTTAGCTTATAACAAATACATGGCAACATCCGAACTAAGTACCAATGTTAAAGTTGATGGCAACTCTGTATCTTTTTTGGCTTCTTGATTTTCTATTTTATCGGGACTATTGTAAAATCGCCTAGTTGAATAAAACATTGTTAAATTAACTTATAAAAGGAGATATCGAGTCTGCTTTATTCAAAGACAAACATGATATTTACACTCAATATGTGTGCAATTAGAGTATGCACGATCAAACAAATAAATACTTTTAGTATATTATAGCTTTTTTATGAAAAATTGATTGTTGTTTAACTATTATGAGAGGATGTACATGCAGAATATTTGCGAAGACACTAGAAGCCCCGCTACTCCCGTATTTTACGAACCAGCTGACCCCAGCGAAGCATCAGCATGGGTTCCGTAAAGTGCATAGCACAACAACAGCACTTAACGCCATAAATACTCAGATAACTCGTGGCCTAAATCGAAACCGCCCCTGTGAGAGAACTACTCTAGTAGCGTTGGACCTGTCCAAGGCGTTCGACACTGTCAGTCATTCAACGCTACTAAAAGATATAGAGGTCCCCACTCCCACAGGTTTGGTCGGCGAATTACCTGAGTGGTCGACACTCGTCAGTAATTTTCAGAGACAAAACCAGCAAGTCACGTGAAATTAATCAGGGGGTACCACAGGTTGGTGTCCTGTTCCCACTACTGTTTTATTATTACATTTCTAAGCTTCCTCAACCACCCGAGGGTGTCAATATTGTCTCCTATGCTGATGATTGTTCGATCATGGCGTCTGGGAATGAAATTAATGACTTGTGCTCGAAAGTAAACGGTTATCTCGCCGAACTTTCTCGCTTCTTTACTACAAGGAGCCTTGCCCTATCCCATGGGAAATCCTCGGCAACCCTATTCACCACCTGGACGAAGGAGGTCAGATTGCAACTGGGTATTGACGTCGATGGCGTAACAATACCGACGGTGAATAACCCGAAAATCCTAGGAGTTACCTCCCTTCGCCCTCCTTCTCGGCGCATACAACCGCAATTGTCAACAAAGTACAGAGCCGCAACAATGTCCTCAAGTGGCTGGCCGGCAGCACTTGGGGCAAAGAAAACGAAACGTTGTTGGCAACATACAAGGCAATTGGCCGGCCGGTTCTAAACTATGCAGCGCTCGTGTGGTCGCCTGGGACTAGCAGGACGCAGTGGATGAAGCTACAGGCTTTCCAGAACACGGCACTACGAACAGCGACTGGATGCCTCCTGATGACGCCCCACCACCACCTACACGATGAGGCCCAGTTGCTCCCAGTCAAGGAGCATAATACAATGCTCTTCAAGCAGTTCCTTGCGGGGAGCCACAGACGTGGTCATCCCAGCAAACAGCTGCTTGCAGAAGAGCCCTCGGCAAGGCATGTCAGGAGGCATCTCTACGAACTGACGGACGAAGTCCAGAGGTTTATTAAACAACCTCTGGACCTGTCAACCTACCGACAGGCCCTGAACGGCATTCACAGGGAATCAGTTTCGAGTTATGTAGACTCCCGCCCTGTGAATGCCGTTCTAGGCACACAACCACCGGACGTGGAAGGGACAGAACTTTGTCTGCCTCGGCAGACCCGCACTACAGTAGCCCAACTTCGCTCTGGCTATTGCAGCAGGCTAAACTCTTACCTGAGCAAAATCAATGAGGATGTGCCCAACCAATGCCCGGCACGTGGTGAGTCGCCACATGACTCTCGGCACCTCTGCACATGCCCTGAGAAACCCCACTCAGCTAACGCCCCTGTCCTTATGGACAGACCCTGTGGAAGTCACACACTTTCTGGGCCTCCCCCTAGCTGAAATAACGACAGCGTTGACGGATGAACCGACCGGAACGCGGTTTGGTAGCCGCCACAACAACAGCGCCTTTTTCGTTTTCTTTGTTTGCTTTCATTCTTAGGCAGATATCAAAAACGCTCAGAAATTAACTTTATTCATTCCTTTCCATTTGCGTGATATTGTTAGTTGGTTCATGACCCCTATCGATTTCTAATCATTTTTTTAATCAGAGAAATGTACGTATTCTCTACCTAGTGCAGCTGTTCCCAGCTTCTACGTACTTTGAACTTCAATAATACCAGTAATTATTTAGTCTGTTCCAATAGCAGTCCGGTATACAGGATTTAGTCAGAAATTACAGGAAGTCGTTCCTATTGACATAAAACCTGTAAGTGGGAACACATTTGAGAGAGTAAAATTGTAGTTTGACAGTTCCACAGGTTTTAGTCCGAAGTTCAAAGGAACAGACTAATTATCAAGAGCACAAAAAAATTATACCGCTATGATCAGGACTGAGACCCCTATCGATCCTAATATAAATTTTTTTTAATTTTGGAACTGTAGGTATTCTACATTTAAGCCGAATACTCGATTCTAGATGTGGATTGAATAAAGAAACACGCCCTATGTATAACAATTTTGTAGATATGGCAAGTTCTACCAGTTCTCATTCACCTCTTCTCTTGTTCTTTTTCTCTATGTTGATTTTTGCAGCCTCAGCAGCACGTATCTAATATTTCTATCTAATATGTGCAGTATTAAGTTGCTAATAAAAATAATACCTGAGATTTCATTCGAGTATCAAGTGCATTGTGATCAAGTGTTCACACAAAAAGCAAACAACCTTATTGAGAATCGAATATAATTTTCATCGACTTCCATTGTATGTATCATGTGAACTTTCGGACAATTGATGGTTAAATATGGTCAACATGTCCTGTGTTGTATCATTATAAATATTTATGTTCTATTAAATTTGTTTGTTCTACAAAATACTCGTTGTTATGGTGTCCTCGCAAATTTCTATGGTTTACATGTATAACTATGGATGTATGTAGTATGTACATGCATTTGTATGTACATACATATATCCTCATTCTTCATTCAGCTCCATTACAAAACTTTAATTAATTTACGCTTAAGAATTTAATACATTTTGTGTATTTAATAGGCAAATCATCGCGGACACAATAACATTAAATAAACTTGATAAAAAAGGAAAACTAAATTTAAATACCTTAACTGAGTGCAGTGAGTTAAAAAATTGGAATGTCAAGCTGATACCATTTACAAGCATATACCGGGAAAATATTTAAGAAATTTATCTAAGAAATTGCCAGTCGGTGCAACTATAAGCTGAAAGTCTGTTGCAATACTCCTGGCAAGTGTTCACTAGCCTAGGATCACCGATCCAATCAGTGAATTCAGGAGGGAAAAAGTGGAGAAAAATTGTCATCGACTACAAACAATGAATTTGAGGGGCACCGCTCCCAAGAAGGAGGGAAAAATGCGGATCCGCGCTTTTCCGGTAAGTAACTTTATATTATAAAGTAAAGATAGGCATAATCACAAAAATTTTTGGGTGCTGTTTAGTAAGAGGCCCAACTATTTCGGGGTATTGCGTCCAAAGGGGTGACCCGATCCAAAAAAGGGTACTGTTTATGAATTAATATACATATTATGAACGATTTTGGGTTGCTGTGCCCAAACGAGAGAATCGAATCACAAACCTTTTACCTACACTTGTAGACAACACTTCACGCTTTATTACAAAAATTTAGTTTACTAAATTTGTGCACTAATTTAACACTAATGTCGTTTGGAAATATGGTATTTGTTGCAAATTTCCGAAATATACGTACACTGATTACTCTTATTCTGCCTTAAAGCAGCCACTTAATATCTTAATTTTTATGGTTATATTTACCTTACACAATACACTATTAGTTGTTAGTTGTTTTATTCCTTTAGTTGAAACTTATTCGTCGCAATTTACTAATTAAAATTGCTATGACAATCACCCGTGATTATATATGCAAATTAAATGGCGGAGCTTAGCTGTCAAACACAAAAAATATAGGTACACGAAGGATAAAAAAGAAAATTTGACGTTCCNCTAATTAAAATTGCTATGACAATCACCCGTGATTATATATGCAAATTAAATGGCGGAGCTTAGCTGTCAAACACAAAAAATATAGGTACACGAAGGATAAAAAAGAAAATTTGACGTTCCCACGACAGTCGGGTCTACGTGACCGGAACGACCCAGATTTTATTTTTATTTTTTTATTTAAGAAAGCTTATATAATAATAACAATCATTATACAACCTATGAAAAAGCAGCGCTAGCAGCAGAGGCTTTCGGCTGGCTGGTGAAAAGGCTTTGTCTTAAATGCGCCGGAGATGATCAGTATCCTTGAGAAAATTATAAATTTTGCATATATTGTTAGTAGAAGGGTTCATTAGTAATCCAAATGGATCATCATTTCCAAAAATGCGATGTCTGTGATTTGCCAGAACAGGACAAAAAGCTACAATGTGTAGAACGCTAACGGGGGAATCACAAAAAGGGCACTGGTTAGGACTGGTACCATTCAGTAGATGACTGTTTGTAATAATAGTGTGGCCAATACGTAATCGTATATAGGGAGTGATGTAGTTTGCTGGGACAGACGTTGTTGTTGTTGTTGTTGTAACAGCATACAAATTCCCCAAAGAGATTTTGGGGAGTGTTGCTGGAGTGGTGGCGGTCCTTGGCCAGATATATATCTATCTGCGTCGTTCCGGTTACGTAGACCCGACTGTCGTGGGGACAGACGTTGTTGTTGTTGTTGTAGCGGCTACAACAACCCCGCCCAGATCGGTTGGTATCTCAGTCGTTGTCGTCTAGTTCCACTAACGGCAACCCTAGGAAACGTGCAGCTTCTGTGGGATTTGTCCACAGGGACAAGGCCGTTAGGGTTGTCGGGTTTTCCGGGCATGCGAAGAGATGTTTCGAGTCATGTGGGGTCTCTCCGCATGCCGGACACGCATTCGGCACATCCTCATTCAACCTACTCAAGTAGGAGTTCAACCTGCTGCAGTAGCCGGAGCGAAGTTGTGCGAGTGTAGTGCGTGGGGACAGACGTCGAATACGTTGGTTTAGACCGATTAATGTTAATCCGGGAGTAATGATGGGTATAATTCGTCCAGTCAGCTGCTAACTTGGCACTTCTTTGTTGAGCTATAAGCCGGTTTATGTCGCTCTTGATGAAGAGAGAGGAGGTCATTGTAGGGGTGTTGCACATTTCTTTGGCAGTTGTTTCCGCCATCGAATTGCCTTTGATGCCCGAATGACCCGGAACCCACATGATTCTCAGTTTGTGGGGGGAGGCGATAAGGACGTCTCTTAAAGCACAGACAATGTAATTAGTATTGCTGAAGTTTTGTATGGCTTTAAAGCAAGAAAAACTATCTGTGCAAATTACAAATTTCCCTTTACTTTGCTTAGAAAAATTAAAAGCGTGAAGGATGGCAGTAGCTTCAGCTGTGAAAACAGAACAGAAGGGTAGCAGAAGACCGTACGATATAGGTATATTATTTTCTTTCACAGCAGCGAAAGAGGTGTTAGAAGATTTAGATCCATCAGTAAAAATGAACTGCCAGCCACTCGATTTGAACTGATTTGCAACTTCAGAGAATCGGGCTATGTACTCAGAGCTAGTTGTGCTGCCGAGAAACTTAAGTCTATTTGTACAAGGTATATTTATATTATTAAAAGACAGTAACGGAATAGTACAATTTCGTTTCGTAGAGGATGAGATTGAGGCGCCTGAAGAACGTGACCAATTGTATATGAGAGATAGAATTTCAGTAAAAGATACCATAACCGAAAATAGATTAGAAGTTTTAGAAAATAGTAGCAAATCATCAGCGTAAATAAGATGGCTGACATTAGGAAATTTGTTAATGATGACACTAATTTCATCAAATGCAATAATAAAAAGAATAACAGAAAGAGGGGAACCTTGTGGTGTTCCATTATCAAGAGGAAAGGTAGAAGTGAGAATGTTAGAAATGAAAACACTAATTTTATGATTCGAAAGAAAAGATTTTATAAAATTGTATATACGAGGGCCAACTTTCCATTCAATAAGCCGTCTTAATACCACATGGATGCCAATACGGTCAAAAGCTTTTAAAAAATCTATCGAGAGTAACGGATATGTGATTTCTGGAAGACAATGCTTCCGAAACAAAATTATCTAAATGCAAAAGAGCGTCAATAGTGCCCTCCCCCTCTTAAATGCTGTAATGGCATCGCTAACAATACGGCAGCACTATTCAGCGCCGTCGTAATGTTGGTAGCCCTGTTGGAACATACGTTCCACAGGTACTTAAAACCGAGTGAAAAAACGAATGCTAATGCAATTAGACAAACGACTTCAAACCCATCGGTAGTGTAATTTTCCTTAGTCTTTAAATAAAACTAATATTGTTCTTCAAGTGTTGTTAATTTTCTTAAATTCGCAAGTAGTTGACGGGCGTGAATAATTGGCAAATTTTTCTATAAATACAAGTTTGCGGAACCCATAAGAGTTCGGCCAATCTGCCACGAGGGCATAATAATTGTGCATAATTTACTGGTGTCGGCAGCCTAGCAGCGGATTTGTCTCCAGGACGATTTGGGGTAAGCGAGTGGGTTTTTGGCACGTGTGTGCAAAGTTCCAATGAGCGGGCTGCAGGCCCAACATGGCGACCGTGACAGGACGATTTGGGGTAAGCGAGTGGGTTTTTGGCACGTGTGTGCAAAGTTCCAATGAGCGGGCTGCAGGCCCAACAATGCAACCTGTTTAGGGTGGAGAAACTTATTCTTATGAACATACCAGGTGAGCCTGGATGCAATAACCTTCTCCATCAATTTACCAAGGCACGGCAGGAGGGAAATAGGGCGGTAGCTACCTACCTCGCAGGGGGGTTTACCTGGCTTCAAAATTGGTATGATCGAGCTCTTCTTCCACAAAACAGGGTAATCACCAGTGATATAGATGTTGTTATAATGTGATACAATACGGGAAAAAAGAAAAGAAGGGAGATGTTTTATGATGATATAGGAGATCTTATCTATGCCAGGTGTTTGCCTCTAACAGTGGATAGAGCTGTGCGGAATTTAAGTAGAGAAAGATTAGCATCTAATAGCTTGGCAGAGGAAGATAGAGCGCTAGGAGGGAGATACGAGGATGAGATAATTGAACATTTAGTAGAATAAAATTGAGAAGGGAAACTAGAGTCAGAGGAGTTATTGCAATAATAGAGAGCAAATTCTTCAGCTATATCCCGTGGATATAGAAGTTTGCCTCGAGGTGAATTAATTGACGTGATGGAAGAGGAGGATGGAAATCCAGTTAACCTTCTTATAACCGACCAAATTTTTTTGGTGTCACAAGAAGAGTTAATGGAGGAAGTGAATTTTTGGAAGCAAGACATTTTGGCAACTTTAGATGCACGTCGAAATAAAGCGTAAGATTTCTTGTATTGAATAAGATTACGTTTGAATTCATGCCATTTACGTTGTTTATCTTGTCTTAACTCAGGTAGATCACTGTTCCACCATAAGGGGGTAGGCCTAACAGGTTTCGATGACGATACAGGGATAGATTGATTAGCTGCGCATCGAATAATTTTATGAATCCTGGAAGTTTCCTGATTGATATTGGAGGAGGGTGGAAATGAGTTGGAAAATCTAAAACAGGAGTCTTCAAATTTGACCCAGTTAGCTAAATCTGTTTTAAACAAGGATCTGGGCTTATAGGTCGTTAAAACACGGGAAGTAGAGATTTTGGTGACTATAGGAAAGTGATCACTTCCATGAAGATCATCTATTGGATGCCAAGAACATTTAGAGGATAGAAGACGAAAGGGTGATATCAATATGAGTAAAGGAAGAGTGAGTAGAAAAGTGGGTGGGGGATCCATCATTCAGAATAATTCCATTAGAAGTAAGTAAAAAATCTTCAATTTGACGACCTTTAGAATTAGCTGAAGGAGAACCCCAAAGGGGACTCCAAGCATTGAAGTCACCTGCTATAATATAGGGAGTAGAGGAAGAGGGAGTAAGATTATTAAAGTCGGTTAAAGAGAAAAATTCATTAGGAGGAGAATAAGCACAAATAATTGAAATTTTGTTTGCTAACTGGAGCTCTACAGCAACAGATGATATAGAGGAAGTAGGGTA